TATTTTAATAAAAATTTACTATATTTATTAATTAAAAATAATTTAATAATTTTAATGTAACAATTACTTTAATTTTCCGTACCGAAGTACGTAAAACTATAAGAACAATGCTTCCCGTTTCTGGCTTTATGCCTTTATCTTCTCTATTCTTTCTTGTTTCTCTCTAATTCTAAATTGAGTTGTATCAGTGGCAGAACAAGCAGCAGGGATCCTTGTTCACCGGCGAAGGGCAGGAACAGGCGCCCGTTGGCGATGTTGCCTCGGGAGGATTCGAAGCTCACGAGGAGAGTGAGCAATGAAGCAAACCCTCGCTTGCAATTTTTCCCATCCTTACAGGCCTCCTCTGTTCTATACCTACCAAGAATCGAAGGAGAAAACGATCGGAGAGATTTTTCCGAGAGAGAACCCTAGGATTTGGGGTTTCCTTTAGTTTTTGATTTGGGAATTGAGATTATACAACGCTGCTGAGTAATGAGTTTGACTCAAATCCTAGTTCAGATTGTATTTGGTCTTTACTCTTTCTATATATATATTCAACGGTTTCTGAGTTTTTACTTAAAAGATCAAATAAGGTCATTCTTTCTTCCCTTAAAATCTGTCTGGTACCCCACCAGCAGAACTTGAGGTGGAGTAATTAAGTTTGGTAGCTGCAATTGATTTCAATGGCGTCAATTATAATCAATGCAACCAATGAAGTATCTCTCCAATCCACTGGTTAGTAATAGCTTACATAATTCAATCCATCTTAACTATTTTTGTTAATTTATGAGAGTTTCTGTTTCTTTACCAGAGTCATGTGATTTCTCCTGTTTATATATCCTGAAAATTTGGAACTTCTTTTCTAGAAGAAGAGTATTGCCCATGGAAGATGCTAATTGGAATTAAAAGATTGTTTTTTCACTAGAATTTTGTGATGTATCCGTTTAAATATTGGAAATTTGGAAGTTCTTTTTAGTTTTTATTAGAAATAACAAAGTCATGCAATACCTTCATTTGAATTGCAAGATTGATGGCTAAAAACCTCTGAAAATATGCTAGCTTGACCTTTTAGAAAGTAGAACATCAAATTGATTAGCTTGGCTGAATAAGAGATTAAAATTGATTAATCCCTTTTAGGGTACTTGCCAATTCCAAGAGAAAAACAAAACCATGGAAGATGCTAATTGGAATCCTAATTAAAATAGTCTAAGCTACTTAGGAATTGCAAGATTTTTTCTAATATGATTAAGTGCGTACCTTTTTTTTTAGGTACATGATAATCAATCGTAATTTATTTGTAGTTAAGTTAAATTTCCCAATTCCGTTGACCATGTTAGACATATGGAGTTATTTGGTAACTCAAAGCATATATTTTTCTTTATTTGTAAAAATTAATGCTCAGGATTTTTTTTATAGCCAACTCTCATTTTGTGATGATTAATGTGTGTTGCCTACATTCTTTTTAGGTTTTTTTAATTAGTGCCTTTAATGATAAGTTAAGAATATATTTATTTTACTTTTTATCATTAGTTTATATAGAAAATTATAAAAGTAAGCTTTATTTTCTAATTAACATTAATGTCACGTGAAATATTTTAATTGAACTATTAATAAAACTAAAGTCAACTTTTATTTATTATATATAAATTAATGATTAAAATATGCAATAAATACACCTTAATCTATGTCTTTAGAACACAAGTTTGAAAATTTCCTTTTTATTATAAGTTTTCTTTTTCTTCTTCTTTGTTTAAACAGTTACTTTTGTTTTTCCTATGTCCAGTGAATTGTGACATGCATTCTGCACTACGGAATCCTGAATGGGCATGGCTCCCCAAGCACATTTTGGATTTAATTCTGGATAAATTGGTGTCTCTTTATGCCTATATCCAATTTGGATTGGTATGCAAATCGTGGTATTCTGTTGCCCGAGACAATAAAAAGAAACGATGTATCATCAATGCTTCTCATCCTCAACTTCCTCTACTCTTGATCCCCATTAAAGATAGTGAAGAGAGGTGTCTATACAATGTTGTTCAGGGTAAAGTCTATGACTTCCGAGTAAAAGTACCTTTAAAGAGGTGTTGTGGTTCTTCCAATGGGTGGTTGTTTATTCTCGAGGAGGATAAATGTTTGACCTTGTTAAATCCTTTCTCTAACAAGGCGATCAAACTACCTCCGATCACTGAAGGTGAGGAACTGTTTAGTGAGATTTTCGTTTGGAAGGCTGTTTTATCAAAAGATCCTGTTTTGTATCCAAATGATTATGAGGTTGCAGTTATATATGATGGCATGCGTCGATTGGCTCTCTATAGAGCACAATGTGAAACTTGGACTTACTTTTCAGATAATGGGGGATTGAAGATCTTTATGGATGTTATTTATTACAAAGGTAGTTTCTATGCAATAGACTATTGGATGGGTATTGGACGGATTGATAATACTAGCATTGAGAATTCAGTTTCCTGGCCTCAAGTAAATTTGGTGCTACGGCGCATTCTGCCAACATTTCCAGAAAAGCACAGTGTTTATGACACTTTTTTGGTTGAGACATCTGATGGAGACCTACTATTGGTGAGGAGATATTTGTTTAAAGAGGACTATGAATGGACTCCTGAGCTTGAACTTGAAGAGACAGGGAATGATTTCACAATAAAATTTAGAGTTTATAAGCTAGGAGAGTTGAGCAATAACGGGACACCAAATTTGGTGGAGATTAATGATTTAGGTGACTATGCTATGTTTTTGGGTTGCAATCATTCTATGTTAGTCCCAACACTTGAGTTTCCTGGATTGCAGCGGAATTGCATATACTACACAAATGATAGAGTGGATGTTTATAATCCTCTTGATGCGGGCATCTTCAAATTAGGAGATGGATACATTAGACCGCATTACATTCCTGAGAATGATGAGGATTTGCCACCAACAAATTGGATTGCGCCAACTTTGCAGGGAGATTGGCATGAAGGAACTGCCTTTGTTTGATTTAAATGCTTATACATAGTGGTAAATTGTTAGGACATTAAGGTTTTTTGGTTTTTTTTTTTTAATAAGAAATTCTTAATTTTCTTACTTAGTACTTTTTTTTTGGGAAAATTCTTTTAAAGTTTACCAAAATTTTCCTTCAAATTAAGTCAATGCTAAATTTTAAGTATTGCTTAAGTGAAGATATTTCAATTAAATTCCTCATAAGTGTATTAGGGTTTTTTGAAAGGTCCAAAATACCCTTTTTAACAAATAATTAAAATATTAAATACTTATTAATTTTAATTAAATAAATATTAAAATTTTTTAATAAAAACAATAAGTAAAACTCTCTTTTTCTCCTTTCGTTTATTACTTTAATTAATGATTTTTATTTTAATACATGATCATAATTCAAAATTTTAGTTAATCATCAAGATTTTGATTTTTTTTATTAATATGATTCATGCAATTAATCAAATTCTTTCAACTTTTTAAGGAAAAAAA